AGCACATGGGAGGGGGTAAGTGGAGGAAGCAGGGAGAGAGGAGGGAGGGGGAACTGGGATTGGAACGTAAAAAATAAATTAATAAAAGGGGGGAGACAGGGTCTCTCACTGAACCTGCAGTTGCCTAATTTGTCTAGACCGGCTGGCCAGAGAGCCCCAGAGATCTTCCTGTCTCTGCCTCCCAAACCCAGGGATTATTATCATGCATGCCCACCTGACTTTAGCAATGTGGGTTCTAGGGGACCAGACTGATTCTCATGCTTGCACAGTGAGTACTTTAGGGGCAGGGCATCTCCCCAACGCAACCCCAGATTGTCTTTCTGAAGCTGAAGTTCTGCACCTTGTTTCTGGAAAGCCTGCATGAGGAGGCGTGGGTTGGTTGGATTTGACCCATAAAAATGGCACTTAAAAAAAAAACCAGAAGTTTATTTCTGGTATAGATGTTTCACCGGCATGTGTGTCTGTGCACCATGTATGCATCAAATGCCCAGGAACTGGAGTTACAAGTGGTTGTGAGCCACTATGTGGGTGCTTGGAATCGAACCTGGGTCCTCTGGAAGAGCAGCCAGTGTTCTCAAAGGCTGAGCCATCTCTGCAGTCTCTAGAAATGGTAATTTAATGGCTCAGGGGAGCCTACTTAGTGGTGTGGTAATCAAGAAACTCCTCCCCAAAGAGAGAGAGAAAGGCCAGTGTTTGAGGGGTGTGTGTGAGCAAAAAGCATGCTATTATGGAGGGGTCATTGGCCAGGAGCAGACTGAGAGCTATGTGAAGAGGAAGTGATCCAGAGAAAGGACTGCCTTGCTTGTCACCCTCGTGCACCTGCTCCATCAGGGTGGTGGGTGGCACAACCCACAGTAAGCTTTCCTAGATCTTAGATACCTGCTCCTTCCTCCACTGTTCCTCCCTGCCCCACATCAATTCCTTATCTAAAGGAATTATGCTAAACTAAACACACGGCCAGCCTTATCTTTTGGTTCCTTAGCTTGGACTTGGCTTTGCTAAGGTAGAAAGGGAATAATCTCAGACTTGGACCCGTGATCTTCGTCTCCTCCGGCGACATGTGTGGACTTTACACTCTGGTTTGGCTAAGTGCCTTTTGCCTTAGCCCGGGAGGCAGCTGGGGCCTGGCATCTTGTCTATACTGCAGTTCCAGGAGGGCGCCCAGCCTCTCTTTGAAGGAAGGCTAGTGTAGTCAGTTACCTGGTGACTAAAGGGTTGGGATTTGGGATGGACCCTCCTGTCACATGGAGCATAGGTGAGGCTTGGAGTCACAAAAGTGACAACTGCTATACTCTAGGGTTCAGGTACTGCAGGGGAGGGAGCTGTGGTGTCTTCTAGGGTCCTTACAAGCCTCTGTCCCTGAATTCTGGGTTTGAGGGCTCCCAAATGGCTGCACCACACCTTGGTTGGGGTGGGAGGTCTGGGCTCATTTCATCCAATGTCCTTCCTGTTTAGACAGAGTTCCTCTTTCTTCCCCTTAGTATGGAAACTCTGAATCTCTTGGATTATCTAGGATCATAGCCCAGCTTTGTCAGTTACAGGTCTGAAAACCTTGTAAACAGAGGAGGATGCAATCCCAGTGCTGGAGAGGCAGAGACGGGAGGAGCCCAGGAACTCCAGGTGCTGTGAGAGACTTGTCTCAAAAAACGTAAGGTGGGGAGAGACAGACAGACACCCGATGTCCTCCTCTAGCGTCCACATGCACATGCGTTTAAGGATTCCATGTGCATGAGGGTACGTGCTTCCACGGAAGGCTGCACAGATGGACAGCCTCAGACGGAACAGGTCCACACACGTGATGCTGGGAGAGCCTGCCAGAGGACCGGCTGGAGACCAAGCGCGGGCTCCTTCCCCAATCTCTTTCCTCCGCCCATCTCCTCTTCCTCTCCCACTCCTTTGCCTTGTTCTTCCTCCCCCACCCACAGGCCCCGGTCTGGGTCAGTCTCACCTTCACCCACCCCCTCATCCTATCAGGGATCAGACAGAGACTCGGAACCTGAGCCCTGGTGTGTCCTTGTCCTTCCGCTCTTTGCGTCACGCTCTGGCTTAGGGTGGGGCAACTGTGCGCTCTGGTGAAGGGAGACAGACCCATGCCCCAGAAGGATTTAAGGGACGAGTTTGGCCCACGAACCTGGCATCAGACCCAGGACAGCGCACTACCGGATGCGCCCCTCGGCAAGCACCCGAGGGGCTCTCTCTTCACAGTCCACCCCGAGGGCTAAATGCACCAGTCTACGCAAACTACATACTTAGCTTCCTCCTCAGCCCACCCTCGATGTTAAGAAAGTTCACTTCCCGCCTCCTTTCACTAATGAATCTCTATATTTAAAGTGAGGTCTGTGGCTCCAGAGCAGAGAGCTGTCGGGAAGGAGAGGAGGCTTCATTCCTGATGCGGGGGTGGGGAGGGGAGGTGGGCGTCGTCAATTTAATTTCTCAGCTAAAGCTACAATTTGCCAGCCCTTGTAATTATTATTTTTATTATGGATACAAATTAAAAATAAACTGAGTGTCGCAATCACAGCAGGAATTAGAGTTGTTCCCTAATTGTTATCTTTGAATCAATCCAGCTTCCCTCTGCTCTGCTTGCCCGGGTATAATTGAGGTGTGTGTGCGCGTGTGCGCATGCGTGCGTGGGATCACCTTGTGCTTCAAGCTAGGCTCTGACCTCTGTTCAAGGTAGCTGGGTGTCTCCTCCAATTCCCTTCTTCTTTTCTTTGTCCTTTTTGGAAGACGCAAGGGGGTCAAGGTGTCTGGGGAGATCAAGTCCCTTTTCCTCCTCAAAAATCAACATTGTATGTATATATGTATGTGTCTATGTCTGTGTCTATGCATGTGTGTGACAGCTTCTGCCTGAGCACTGGTGGATCTGCAGGAAGGGTTAATTAGGAGATCGACCAACCCCACAGTGGGCTCCACTATTCAAAGAACTCCAGGTAGGAAATGCCCCAGTGCAGGAAGACAGGTTTAAACTCTCTGGGAGACAATGGGGGCTGAGGGGGTGACAGTGAGGAGCCAATGAAAGTCTTAGGGCCAGGGATGGCTTGGCAGATCTGGGTGTGGAAGATAGACCTAGTGGCTGGAGAGAGGAGGCCTGGCCGCTGGCCACTACTCCAGTCCAGGAAAGCTACAGCGAGGCTTGCTCTGGGTTGGCACTGTGGAGGTGGGGGACTTCATGAGTCTGGATCCAGTCTGAAGTTTCTGACCTGTCCAGTCCCAAATAAATACACAGAGGCTTATATTAATTATAAACTGTCTGACTGATGGCTCAGGCTTCTTATTGGCTAGCTCTCTCTTAATTATTAACCCATCTTATTAAACTATGTGTTGACACTAGGCTGTGGCTTACCCCTAATGCTCCAGTATATTACTCCTTCGGCAGCTACATAGCATCTCCCTCATCTCTCTCTCTCTGTGTTCCTTTTCCCAGAATTCTCCTAGTCTGGTAGCCCCGCCTACACTCCCTCCCTAGCTACTGACCAATCAGCATTTATTCACCAACCAATATGAGAAGCATATTCACAGCATCCGGAAGGACATCCCTCTTCATCTGGGGGTGTGCCTGCTGGTGGTGGAATGATGAAGTAGAAGCATTAAGATTAGAGAAAGTGAGTTGGGGCAATAGCTCAGCATTAAGAGTACCAGCTGCTCTTGCATAGGAGCGACTAGAGTTCAAATCCTAGTACCCTCATGGTGTACCACAACCATCTGTAACTCCAGCTTCTGGGGGATATGATGCCCTCTTCTGACTGCTGCAGGCATACCTGCACAAAATCGCCCAGGCAGTAAAAATGCTCACAATTGTCCTGTGAAGTTCTAGAACAGGCAGGAAATATAGAGACCAGAGCAGGGGCATACTGGCTGAGGCTCTTCTGTGAGCAGTGTGGCTGCACCACAGTCCCAGCTGCTCAGGAGGTGGAGGCAAGTGCATCTTTGTGAGTTGGAGGCCAGTCTGATCTATGTAGCAAGTTCCAGGACTGCCAGAGCTTTACAGGGAGAGCCTGCCTCAAATAACCCAAAATAAATAAGATTTGGAACTTTATGTTTAGCTACAGATTGTGTGTATGTGTGCACGCACACTTATGAGCACATGCATGTATGTGTGTGGGGGGGCATAAAAATCTAGGCTCTTTTTCCAGAGGACCCCAGTTCAATTCCCAGCACTCACAGGGTAGCTTATAGCCACCTGTATGACTCTAGTTCCAGGAGCCCTCTTCTGGCCTCCTTGGGCACTGCACACAAGTGTATACATGCTCTCACACACATAGCCATAATTAAAAATAATAAAGTTTTAAAAAGCCAGGTACATACTAAGTTAGAGTATGATTGCTGGTCTCCTCTAGTAGATAAAATTACAAATTATATTTTGTGCTACTTTGTATTTTCTGTTTCCCCTGGTGGCTAGACACTGTTTTAGAATCAGTCAAAATTGCTGCAGGTTTAATTGCATGAGCTTAGCGTTAAATGACATACATGTTGAGAATGTAGGCCAATGGCAGAGAACTTGCACAGCACACAGGCTCACAGGCTCGGAGGGTTTCAGCCCATCATGGGGGAGGGGGACGCCGGTAGAGCAGCCACAGTATGCGATAGAGGCTGTTCACATCATGGCAGACCAGGTCCTAAGAGCGCAAGAACGAGGGTGCAGACATAACCTTCAGAGGGCCGACCCTAGTGACCCGCTTCCTCTGGCCGACCTGGCCGCTGTCCTTTGCCATCCTGTGGTTGATCAGCTGCATCTTGAGCAATTTCACCAAGATGTAAATGTTACCTTCCTTCTTCTTCACACATCCCTAATGCATTTACACTCACGGCCATACGTTTATTTATATCTTATGAACCCCACGGTGTGTCACACATAAATTGTAACATTCCATTAACTGTGAATTGCTGGGTCTGGAGGGCTTTTGGGAGATCAAGGAGAGGTGAGGTGCTGTGGAGGGGGGTGGGGTGGGGCCTCGGGTTGGAAGACTTCCCATCAGCTAGCCCTGCCGAAGGGGTGGGGACAGCACCCTAGGCTAAAGGCTGGCGTATGCAAGGGTCCTGAGGCGGGATCCAGGGAGGCATCTAACAAGAGATGGACTCCACCCACCACCAGCTTCTTGACCGACTTTGGGAAGCCACCCCAGAAATCCATCCCAAGGGGATGGTGCAAGCTCCCAGGTCTTCAGCCTCCTCCGGAACAGTTCACAACCTCGGCCACCCAGCTCTGGGCACAGAGAGGACAAGCCGGGCTGGATTGATTAGATCACTGTCAGCCGGGGGACCCGAGGTTAATTACTGTTCTCTTGTGAGTTTGTAGCCTGGCTCACAGGCCCTCACGTGTGTCCTTGGGTGCATGTGTGTATGTGTGTGCATGCCCGCATGAGTGTGTGTGGTTGGCCCCCAGTCTGCGTGGGGTGGGGTGGAGGCTGAAGGAGCACGGTGGAGGGGGGTGCGCCCTGGATTTCTCTTCCAGTTCTGAGCCTTGTCTTGTCTGGGGCACCTCAAAGACGAACGCTTAACAAGCATTACGGGACGCAAATAATTCCCCTATTCTCCTGTCTGCCTATTCTTTCCTCCCTCTTTTCTTGTAAATCCTGCCCCTTGCATGTGAATGGAAGGGTGGCTTCATGTGGGACCTTTAATCAGACCCCCGGTAGGGTCCAGGAGGGCAGAGTGCTGGAGGATTACCTTTTATTTTAGGGGTTTGGGGCCCTAGTCCTGCGGTCCCCCGTTCCCCTCCCCCGCTCTGTTTTCCTCCCGTGCGTTTGTTCTTGGCTGCAGTGAGGAAGGGAGGCTTAGGGCGCGGGGAGGGGGTTTACAAACTTAAGGGGATCGGGGCCTATTCAGCCGGCCTTGCGCGCAGACTTTCGCCTTTTGTTCTCAGCCCATTCTTCATCTGATTTCTTCACTCCGGTAAAAGCACTTTAATTCCCCTTTAGACACAGAGAATCCGTCCTCTTCCCCTCCCGCCCTGAGCCCCCCAGTTCACTCTCTCTCAGCCCCTTTATGCTGCGCCCTCCTCCGCCCCAACAAAGACCCAACATCGCGGCAAAGTATTTCTTTCAGCGATGATCCGGGAGGCTGCGGAGAATCCGGAGGGGGAGGGGAGGAGAAGGGAAAGCGGAGGACAGTGGCCTTCCTGGGGACCAGTGCCTCCCCCGCATCCAGACAGGCCCGAGGAGGACGCTGGCTTAGGGCAGCACCCGCATGTGGCCTAGGGTGGCTTTGTAGAGGTGGCACGTGGGTGGGGAGGGAAAAGGCAGGTGTGAAGGTGGCCGGGTGACAGGCGCCTGGTGACAGGCGATAGAGATGTTGCCGCTGGGTGTGGGCTTTGTCAGCTTTCTTGAAAGGACCAGGAAGCATTCATAGTGAAGTCCAGGCAGGGGAGGCGTAGGGGCCTCTAACTTGACTCAGATGTCCCTGCTCAGCATCCTGGCTATCCCAACCCATTCACTGAGCCTGGGTCCTGCTTGGGACTGTCAGCACCTATCAAAGAAACACTTTGGCTTGGGCAGGCAAGATGGCTCAGCCAGTAAAGGTGCTTGTTGCCAAGTCTGCTGATCAGTTTGATCCCAGGGACCCACATGGGGGAGGGAGAGGAGAGAGTTCTGCAAGTTGTCCTACTATATGGCCATGGCTTACATGCCCACCCATACACATGAACGAACAAACGAACGAATGAATATTTGAAAAATGAAATTGCAAAATAGGAAAAATATTTCATATTTCAAAGTTAATAAACATTGAATATCAAATATATATATAAATTATCATTATTATGATTGGGTTTCATTGAGACAGGATCTAGGATCTCACGCTGTAGTCTAGGCTGGCCTCACACTCACACCTGTCTTCCTGACTCAGCACCCCAGAGTTAGGATGCTAGGCAAGGGACTACTGCACCCCACAATATGTTTTATGCCAGGTTCAGACTGGCTTGTGAAAATCTCACGGAGCTGGAAACAGTTTCTCCGGTTGAAGAACTGAGTCCTGAGTGACCCACCCCTCACTTCTTGCTCCCCTCCTCCCATTCTGTAATTCTATATATCATTCATTCTACAACGAATTTCTGTGAACCCACCCATTACACCACTACTAGGCAGCACCAGAAACTTCTAGGAAAGTCTGTGAACTCGGCATTGGTCTCTTCTTGCCCCTTCATTCCTTGCAAGTGTCACTGGGTTCCTAAATATAATCTTTTTATTCAAAAATCATTTTGATACTATTTCCAGTATATCTTTCAGTTATTTTCATAATTATTGCATTTATGTATGTGTGTGTGTGTGTATGTGTGTGGACACAGGCATGCTATGATATGCATGTAGGGATCAGAAGGCAACTGGGGGGATGGCTCTGTACTTTCACCATATGGGTCCCTGGGGAATCGAATCCAGGTAGCCAGGCTTGGCAGCAATTGCTCTTACTGGCTGAGCCATCCTCGCCAGCCCTATCTCCTGAAATCTAGAGGTAGGACTGGTGTTTTTGTGATTAGAACAATTAACTACTAGCCTTGGTTTCCCCATCTATGAAATGGGAACAACAGATAAGCCAGGTTTGAGAGAGAGAGAGAGAGAGAGAGAGAGAGAGAGAGAATATCACACTGCCTTCCATCCCAGACAGACAAAGCAAACCTGCCTATCTCCTCCTTCTACCCAAGTCTGAGACAAATGAATCTTCTCTTCTAGAAAATGCCAACAAATTGTGCAGGGGCTATTTAAGGGAAATCGGGCCAGGGCAGTAATAGTCCAATTGGGAGTATGAACGGGGAAAAGGCCGGCTTCTCTCCTTGTCCGTGGATGGGCAATTACTGCCAAGAATTTTTCGGATAAAATAGAAGACAGAGAAATCGCAACCAGGAGCCCCAATTACGGGGAGTCATTCTTGGGCCTCGTTTTCAGGCTGTGTACTGCAGTGGGGGGGCGGGGCGGGGGATGAGGTGATGAGGCTGGCAGTCATCAGAGGGGAAGGTGAGAATTCAGCAGGGCTGTATCTAACCTTTCTGAGCTCCAAGGCTGGGTGCAGGGAGGGTGGGGGGATGGTTTAGGAGTCCCTGTGGGCTCTGCTTCCTCCTGGAGTAGGATGAGTTCATCACTCACTCCATGTACTGTGCTTGCTGCCCAGCCACAAGATGTCTCTAAAAAGGGCAGAGAACCCTCACCTCTGTGAACGTCCAGACTCTAGGACAGAGAACACCTTGCATCTGAAGCCACCGTGAATGTTTCTAGGAAGTGAAATGCTCGTATACATCCAGCAATGTCCTAAAAAAAATAATCCCAATTATAGAACTGTCAGTTCCCATGGCGCAGTTCCCGTGATGCACCTTGCCCGATAGCCAAGAAGGATTGGAAAGGCAGACTTATAGCAGCCTACACATCTACAGCAGTGCCATCAGACAGACACTCACAGAGATCCGCCTGCCTCTGCCTCCCGAATGCTGGGATTAAAGGTGTGCGCCACCAACGCCCGGCTGGCAGACAGAGCTTAAGTGAGAAGTTTTATTAGAAAGGGGAGGGAAGGGGGAAGGAAAGAGAAAAGAGGTAAAGAGACAGAGACAGAGAGAGAACAGAAGAGAAGAGGGAGACAGGAAAAGTCCTGTCTGCCCTAGGGGAGCAGCAGGAAAAAGACCAGGAAAGAGAAAGCAGCAAGAGCAAAAAGAGAGTATAAGTGGGCGGGGTCTTTCATTTAAAGGGGTCCTTTGTACCTGCGTGCAGACAAGTGCTCATGGAACGCTGGGCTGACCAGGGTACTGTCTGAGTGCACTCTGCCAGGTGACAGGGGCGGGCCAGCATAATGCCTGAATCCTTGCAATGCCCAGGTGTCTGGCATTACTCCTGGACTACTTCTTTTTGCCAAGTACTTGTGTGTTCTGTGAGTCTCATCCCAGATCCAAAGAATAACTTACTGGCCCATGAGCGTCCCCCAGCCTCTGCACTGTTGATGCTGGGTTTCAACCCACTCATTCCCACCTCAAGTAGAATGCTGTCTTCTCTATGGAAGACACGCCTTGGGCTCTCGTGGCTGACATACTCCTGGGTCCGTTGTAGATACTCAAGAAACTGTTCTGAGTCTACAGATGAACGAGTACACGCTCTAGAAAGAATCTGAGTACAAATTTAAGGACGTTTAACAATAGGTGTTCAGAGAATTAGGTTTTGACTTGGAGCAGAGTGCATCCCTGGAGTTGGGCACGGAGAAGGTGGAATGGGGAGGGGCCTTCTCAGTCCCCTGCTGCTAGGTGCTCAGGTGGGGATGGAGTGGAGAGGGCCTCAGGAGCATGGGGTACAGTGCTGGTTCAGTGGGGTTCAGGTGGGATGATGGTGACTCCTGTCTTAGGAGGAGGTTTCTCAGGGTCATGTGACTCTAAAGCTATAAGAGACCCCAGAAGAAGGCAGAGGGAGCTCATGGCCTCACTCATCCCCAGCTCACTGACATTTTTGCAGAGAAGGTCAAAGACTAACTGACCCCCGAGGTGCCCATCAAGACCACCAGCATTTCTGAGAGCAAATGTGGGCAGCCCCTCTCCTGTCCTCCACTGCTGGTGTGAGCCTGGTCTTCACAAGGCCATGAAGCCTCCCAAGGTCAACTGAGAACCTCCCCTTTCATCTTAGTGGGCAGTAGTCTGGAGTCTGCTTGAAGATGGGGCAAGCTGAGGCCCCTAGAAAAAAGTCCCACGATCCCCGAAGAACCAAACTGTGGTTACCTGGCTGTCTTCCTCTGCACTGTGAGTTTTTCTCAACTTGGCACAAACTATAGTCACCTGGGAAGAGGGACCCTTATCTGAGGAGCTGCCTCCATCAGATATCCCTGTAGGTGTGTCTGTGGAGCATTTTCTTAATTAGTGATTGGTACCAGAGGGCCAGCCCACTATGGGCGGTGCTGTTCCTGAGCCCTGTAAGAAAGCAGACTGAGCAAGCCTCTGGGAGCAGGCCAGTAAGCAGTATTCCTCCACGGTCTCTGCATCAGTTCCTGCCCCTGGGTTCCTGCCTTGACTCCTCTGCTGATGAATCCAGCCCTGAAAGATGAAATAAACCCTTCCCCTGCTCTAGCTGGAGTTTTGTTTTTATCACAGCAACAGAGAAGCAGACTAAGACATTCCCCTCGTTCAGGAAGCCATCCGATGGACCCATGGGCACCCTCGCCCAGCTTTCACTGAGATGGCACCCAAAGCTTGGGATGAACCTCTGCAGAGTCTAGAATGCGATGGCAATGACTTCCCTCTGCTCAAAATGAGGACAAGAGCAGCAGTAATGGGCCACATAGGAGTGTTGATCCAGGTCAGAGACGGGGGGGGCTCAGCAGTTAAGAGCACCTGCTGCTCTTCATAGGATCTGGGTTTGGCTCTCAGCACCACATAGGGTGGCTCACAATCACCTGTAACTATGGCTCCAGGGGATCCAACGCCCTCTTCTGGACTTTGTGGATACTACATGCACATTGCACATATATATATATGTATATACACACACACATAGACATGTAAATAATTAATTTAAAAAACCTTACGTGATGTCTGTCAACAGCAGGTGAGGGAGATGTCAGAGTCCTTGAAAGCTGCGGTGGCTCCAATGTGGTCCTTGCAGTTAGGAAATCCACATGGAAGTACTGAGGACGAGTCACCACAGGACTGCAACTTACAAATGGCCCAATAAAGAAAAGAAGGTAAGAAGTGGGTTGATGATTGCATAAAGAGGAAAAGACATTCTGAGTGTGGCTGTAGGGCATATGTTCTAGAATACTGAGCAGTTTGGTTACTAGTGTATGTTGGTGACCAGGAGACATCGTGTGTCCCATCCACTGTTAAACAGTAAGGAAACAGGTAGAGCTTGACTTTGGGGGGCCCTGTATGTCTGACCTAGTAGGAATATTCGGACCTCAGGCTGCCTTGAATGGGGGAGGAGCTAGAGGGTCCTGCTGGGCTGTGTAAGATGGCAGATATCTGTGAGCCCCGCCCCCTGTGCCTTCTCCATCCCATCTTCAGGAGTGATTTGGAGTCTATCTTTCCCCTTCCATTTGGCCCCAGAAGTTCCATCCTCAGGCCTGGCTGGCTGGAGTATTTGCCAGTCAACACCACACCACGTGTGTTAAAGCCTTGTGGCAGCTTCCCCGCCCCCACACTGTTTACTGAGCAAACATCACTAATTCCCCTCCTGGCGCTGGAGTTCCCCAAAGCAAGGCGTGTTCATCAGCTCCCTTGGCAGCTGGAAACCTCCTCCTCAGGAAGATCTAGGATAGAGACGAGGCTCAGGAAGATCTGGGAGAGAGATGGAGGCGTTCTTAGCTTCCTCAGCAGCCTCTCTGACCAGCAGGCTCCAGTGCCAGGGTGCTGGGGTGCCAGTTGGTCTCACGGCCCCGAATAATATGCTGGTCTCCATGACATCCATCTTCTGCGGTCCAGGGAACCTGCTTACTGCAATTTGATATCAATCTTTCCATTCATTCATTCATTCACTTATGGCTTGAGTCAGGCAGGGCAGGGTGTGGGGAGGCTGTGGTAGGTACACCTTGCCTCCCAAGTGAGCATTGTTCCCCTGGAGCTTCTGTACAGAAGCAGGCAGCAAATTAGCCAAGAAGGCCAGAAGAAGTGAAGGAAACCAACCAGGATGACAGATGGGTGCTCTGAGTGGGGGTGTCCAGAGAGGAGCCCAGATTCCAGGCAGGAGGGGGCGTAGGCTGTGACACCTCAGGCTCCACAGCACCTCTGTGGTGCTGTCACAGGCTCTGTCTTTATTTGGAATGCTTACACTGGGTCAACAAGATGGCTCCATGGGCAAAGGCCCTTGTGGCCAAGATTGATGGCCTGACTTTGATCTCTGAAACCCAACTAAAGATGAAAGAGAGATGGGACTCCACAGAGTTGCCCTCCGACCTTCCTCTGTCCCTCCTCTCCACCACTCTGCCACATGTTACTACTACTAATAACTTAAAAAAAATATTGCATAAGGGCTAGAGTCATAGCTTAGCTGGTAAAGTGCTTGCCACACATTCACATCAGGACCCAAGTTGGATTCCCAGCACCAACATTAAAACAAACAAATAAACAAGCAAAAAACCCAGGCATGGTGGTGCATGCCTATAATCCTAGCACTGGGGAGGTGGACAGAGGCAGATAACCAGAGCTCACTGACAGCCCACTCTAGACTCTGTCTCAGCAAAAAAAGAAGGGATGCTCCTGAATAACAACAACCGAGGTTGCCCTCTGACCTCTGTTACTGGAGTTTCTTGTTCCACCAGGCCCCACCACCCTTCTCAGCCCCAAATAAACACACAGATGCTATATTGATTATAAAACTGTTGTCCGATGGCTAGGGCTTCTCATTGGCTAGCTCTGTCTTAATTATTAACACATTTCTCTAAATCTATGTATTTCCACATGGTCTTGGCTTACCAGAGAATGACCAGACCTGTTACTCCTTTGGCTGCTACACGGCGTCTCTTCAGGTCTTTCTCTGCCTACCTTTCCCAGAATTCTCCTGTCTCCTAGTCCTGCCTATCTTCCTGCATCTCTTGGCCAAACAGTGTTTATTCCTCAACCAATAAGAGAGACATATATACAGAAGGACATCCCCCATCAGACCTCCACAGGCACACACATGTGCACCACACTCGTAAGTGCATACACACACGTGTGTGGGCATGTGTGGGCTCACACACACACACACACACACACACACACAATTACATCAAAGTTGTGCTGATTTGTGGAAGATGCTTTCAGAGAGAAACAGAAGGGAGCCTGAGAGGGTCTTAAGGCAGGGATGGGAAGGGGTCTGGAAGCAGAGGGAATTGTAGGGGCAGCCGTTCTGAGGTAGAGGCACACTTGGGAGTGTTGGAGGAGCAGCAAGAAGCCCCAGTTCTGCAGAGTGGGGTGAGTGGGAGAGGGGTCTTGGCAGGGATAGAGGGGTGTGGGTGGGGCCTTGAGAGTCAGGGCAGGTATGAACCTTCTGAGTGTGAGCAGAGCTCTGGAGTCGTCAAGGTTGTGTGACTCTGTTTCAGTGGGGCCCTAGGGGGTGCTGATGCAAGAGTTTAGGCAAGGCACTTAGAGGTAGGAAGGCCAGCACCCACACCTAGCTGGTTCTCAGGGCCCAGCCTCTAACCTGTCCACACAGCAAGCAACCACTGAGCACTTACCGAATGCCAAGGGCTGCTTGGTTCCATTTAGTGCGACAAAGCAGAACCGAGTCTTGACCTTGATGCAATTCAGAGACCCCAAGCTCAGACATGACAGACATGTGGGCCAGGTGGTACAATTGTTACCCCTCCGTTGGCTATTTCTGGAAATGGAAACCACGGGTCAGAAGAAGACCCATCTCTAGCTGGCTTACACCAAGGAGACCCTTGGGATGAGCTCATGGCCTCCCATGACTCCCCCTTCTAGTCACCCACGCCTCTTTGGGTGGCTGAGTTTTGGGCTGTGTTAGAGAGAGCCTAGGACACTTGGTATTACTAGCTCCTTCCTCTCTCTTTGGTCTGTGGCAGAATCCTGAGGCCTGCAGGAGGCTGGCGAGGCCCATTAGCTTGCTCAGTCCCTCCCTCTGGGCTCTCAGGCGGTGGCCGGCTCCCCCGACTGCCCATGAGCATGGCAGGGGGCTGACTTGGAAGAAACCAGTCTAGAGGACCCCTCCACTCTTACTCTGGGGACACCCCATTAATTCTTAACAAACATGAAGTTCCACGGGGCCAGGCCTCGACTAATGAGGCCTGGTTTCCCAGGATCCCCCAGGGAGGAGGAATTAGCCACCACTGGCTCCCAGAGCCAAGCATAACTGGAGAGGGCTGACTCCCAGCTTCCCAGTTTCCCAGCCTCTAGTCTGGGCCACCTTCCCAGGGCACAGCCCCGCATGCCATTACTCCATACCTGTGTCTCTTTCAGGAGCTCCCTGTGGAAAGCGGCTCTCCTGAGGCAGGTTTGATCTGTAATAGACAGTGGAGCCAGAGCCACAGTGGAGATTGCTACCATATCCGGCCACCACCAAAGACCCCTCTGTGAGCCCCCCTCGAAAATCCACCCCTGCCCCCATTCTCACAAGGCCATAGGTCTTTATGTCACCAGGCAGGAGTTGCCAACTGTTAAAGCGTTACTCAAATGGAATCATTCCAATGTGTGGCTGTGGTTTAGTGCACATGGGTAATACACATGCGGGTTCACATACATGTGTGTACGCATGCATGTGGAGGCCAGAGGTCACCTTGGGTGTCTTTCCTCAGGATGCCATCCCCCTTGGTTTCCTGAGGCAGGGTCTTTTACTGAACCTAGGACTCACAGATTAGGCTAGGCCAGCTGGCCAGTGAGCCCCACAGACCACCCTCTCTATCCCCAGTGAAAAAATCTGAGTTCTGGGAATCAAACGCAGCTCCTCATGCTTGTGTGGCAAGGATTTACAGATGGAACTATTTCCCTCACTCCTGTCCTTACTGATTTTATATTTTTCAAAGATTTATTTATTTTTTCCAGGCAGTGGTAGCACACACCTTTAATCCCAGCACTTGAGAGGCAGCGGCAGGTGGATCTCAGTGAATTCGAGGCCAGTATGGTCTACAGAGTAAGTTCCAGGACAGCCAGGACTATTGCACAGAGAAATCCTCTCTTGAAAAAACAAACAATAAAAAAAGATTTATTTATTTATGTATATGAGTGCTCCATCTTCCTGGAGGTCTGCACAACAGACGAGAGCATCAGATCTTGTTACAGGTGGTTGTGAGCCACCATGTGGGTGCTGGGAATTGAACTCAGGACCTTTGGAAGAACAACCAGTGCTCTTAACTACTGGACCACCTCTCCAGACTGTTAATAGACTTATTGTGATAGAGAGTCTCATTGCAGAGTCTCACTACTTAGCCCAGGCTGGACTTGAACTAGAGGTTCTCCTGCTTGTTTCCTGAGTGCTGGGATGGCAAATGTGCACCATGAGGACATACATCTTTTCTTGTTGTCCTTTTTTCTTCTACATGATGCCCAAAGCCCTGTTATGTATATCCACTCCAAGTCCTTCCTTTTTAAAGATTTATCTATCTAGTTTGTGTGTGTGTGTGTGTGTGTGTGTGTGTGCACATGTATATGAGTTTATGTGTACCACATGCATGCAGTTGCCTATAAAGGCCAGAAGAGGGAGTTCAGATCCCTTGGAACTGGAATTACAGGTGGTCGTGTGTAGGGTGTGGAGGAAGCTCTGAGTGAGTGAGTTAGTGAATATGCATTGTTGGCCTGGACACGCTCTGTGGAGGACTCTAAAACTCCTGACTCTGAAACTGGCGAAGCAACACCTTGCCCTGTCAAAGCACAGAAGTGATATAAAAGATTGATCAGTATGAACGGAAACTAGCAACTTTAGCCTCCTCCCTGATGTTTGCAGCCTAAGACTGCAACTATATAGCCCTCCTACTGAGGCTATCCAGCCCTGCCCCATGTTATACACAATAAACACGCGTAGGTTCCAGGCCAGGGAGGTTCTATGTGCCAATCCATCAGAGTGTGATCCCTCACTGACACATTCTAGGCAGGGGCTCTATGACTGGGCTCCGCCTCTTTCCTCATCCTATAGGGATCGCTCTACAACTTGCCCTGTGCTTTGCTGGCTCAAGTCTGCCGTGAGTTCTCACTGGTGCCCTTGTCTCCCAGCCATTAGTGCACAGATCTTTCTGGCTTCCTTGCCTGGCCTTTGGGAAACCTTCCCCCTCAACAGCGAGAACCTGGCTCCTTTATTGTTTAATCTCAGTACACCATGGAGTAACTTCGGAATCATCCCTGATGCTCTTGTGGGAAAACACGCTTATCAAACAAGAGTCTGCTCATAGGGAGTCCCTTTGGCCATTATGAATGCCATTTATATCCAAAGTCACTGGGCTGCCATGTTGCCCCCCTCCCAAGGCCCCCCAGAATTGTTTCAGACAACTCTACCAGGGGTTATTTTGTCACATTATGCATCCTTTATTCCCCAATAACTTTAAAATGTGCATGCACTGGGACCCCATTTTGTTCTAGAAAGATCTACAGATTTTGCATAGGCACAGTGTTTTTACCCACCAGCCCAGCATCCTATGAAATAATTCTACTGTTCTAAAACACCCCCCCCTTCGTGAGTCAGCTCTCACTCTGAGCCCTGAGCCCATGGTGAACCCCGAGATTTACTCATGGTCTCTACACTTTTGTATTCTCTAGAACATCTCATGAGTGGAAATTCTCTGACCTAGACCCTTATCAGGCTGGCTTCTCTTTCATCAATTAATACATGTACTTCCCCAAGTCAGGCTCATAGGGATATGAAGAACAGAGTTAGATATCCCAGAACCCATGCAAAAAGGTAGGGCATGTTGGTGGCATTTACCTCCTGTGGAGGCAGAGGCAGGAGGATTCTTGAAGCTCACTGCTCATCCCAGCTGAACCGGTGAGCTCCAGTTAATGAGGAGACCTGTGGGTGAAGAGATTGTCTAGTTCACAGCAACACAATGGGCCAGCTTGAGTTGACACTGAGCTCTTATCCAAAGCTGACAACAGTTATTCCTTCAACAGACATTTGTTGGGCACTTACTACTTCCCAGTGTCTTTCTCCTTGAATGGTATCAGGTGTGTTATTAAAATAGTTACACTAGCCTGATGTTTTTGTTAGTAATCATCCACCTTTTACCCTAGCACCTTTTCAATTTCTTGTCATCAATTTTATATTTTATCTGACTCAAGAACCCTGATCTCTTTGGCCAATTCAGTCATCCATCCATTCATCATTCAAAATTTGTGATATGTGTGCGCAGGCGTGCTCACCCATCCATTAACACTAGGTATCTTCCTTTGTGTCTCTCTCTTATTTTAAAGTTTTTTTAAAATTACATTTATTTCTTTGTGTATGAGTGGCCATGTGTGCCATAGTATGCTTGTGGCGGTCAAGGTACAGCATGCAGGAGCTGGTTCTCTTCCTGTATCGTGTGGTTCCCAGGGATCAAACTCTTGTTGTCAGCCTTGGTGGCAAGACCCTTTGCCTGCTGAGCTGTCTTGCTTCCACCGTAGCATTTGTTTCTTTATTATTTTTATGTCTGCGTGCCTGTATGTGTTTATGTGTATCACAAGCCTGCAGGTTTGCAAAGGCCCAGAAGAGGGCAGCAGATTCCCTGGAACTGAAATTACAGACAGTTGCTAGCCTCCATGTAGGTTCTGGGAACCAAACCCAGGTCCTCTGCAAGAGCAGCGAGTGCTCTTAACTCCGGAGCCGTCTCTCTGGTCCCTCCTCCTTCTCCCCCCACTTTGGTCTCTTACTGTACTTAGAGCTCACTGATTCAGCCATGCTACTTGACCAGGGATCCTTCTGTCGCCATCCCATCCCAGAGATGGGATCGCAGCCATCTCCTACCGTGTATGGCTTTTCACATGTGTGCTGGGAATTCAAACTCATATCTTAATGCTTGTCTAGGAATACCTTTACCCACAGAGCCATCTCCTTAGTCTCTTTTTGGGGACACATTTAAACCATTTACCTTTATTGTGATTTGCAAAAATGAAATAATTTCTGGCATATCAGTTTTCACCGTCTGGCAACTATATGGGCATGTGCTGAGTGGGGCCCCCTTTCCTTCCTCCCCCCTCCCCCACTTCTCTGCTTTCTGTAGGACAGACTGAAGTCATCAACATTACCTTGTTGTTTGGGAAATTATGCATTGTATTTTCCTTCTTTAGTGATCTGCTTAAAAAGTATTTCTATTTGCTGTCTTTATAGAGCCCCTAGTCTGTGCCCTCACAGCTGTCTGTGTTGCTCAGAGCTAAGAGCCTGCGGTACAAGGATGAGTTCTTCTGAAGTCTGTAATTCTAAGGTTTTAAAACTCCAGTAGTTCTCATATTCTATATTTTACCCTAAGATTACATTAATTTGATATTCAACTTAATATTCCATGTTTCTATGACCTCATATAACTCTAAAACTTCAGTGATCTGATATCCTATATGTATCAATCATTTAGCTTCATATGCTAAAATTCTCTCTCTTTTTTTTTTTTCTCTGGTTTTTCGGGACAGGGTTTCTCTGTGGCTTTGGAGGCTGGCCTGGAACTAGCTCTTGTAGACCAGGCTGATCTCGAACTCACAGAGCTCGGCCTGCCTCTGCCTCCCCATTGATGGGATTAAAGGCATGTGTCACCACCACCACCACCGGGCATTAAAATTCTTTTATCCTAAGGCTTTACTTGGTACATTGGTTAACATTTCACAAGTGTTAGAGTCCACACACTGGCAGCTACTAGGCTTCATGTGTTCCATTTTAAAGACATTTCCAATTCTGTAATTCTACAGATCTGAATTTTTATAAAGCTGTGATTGTAGGATCTCTGGGTCTAACAGTGAAGATTTCTGTAATTCTTGTTCCCCACCCCACCCCAGTTTGCTTCTTTTTCTTTAAAGACTGAATCTTGCAGTGTAGCCCAAAGCTGGCCTCCAACACGCAGAAATCCATGTGCCTCGACCTCCCCAATTCTAGGGTTACAAGTATGTCTCACCACACTCAACTTAGAATTCTGTAATCCTAGAGTATTATTGTTATTACTGTTTTAAAGACAGGGTCTCTATTACATAGCTCTAGCTGTCCTGGAACTCTCTATGTGGACCAGGCTGGCCTCAAACTCACAGAGACCCACCTGTTTCTGAATCCTGAGTTCTGGGATTAAAAGTAGATACCACCATGCCAGGCTGGCATTATTATTTTTTAAAGATTTATTTGTGTGTGTGTGTGTGTGTGTGTGTGTGTGTGTGCGCGCGCGTGCACGTGCACATGAGTGCAGTTACCCACAGTGATCAGAGGAGGGTGCTGGATATCCCAATGCTGTTGTGAGCTGTGAGCTGCCAGCTGTGGGTGCTGTAATAACTTGCAGGTTGCTTATTTGCAGGTTCGGGAACCTGGCTTGGATGGAGATATGACAGGTGCTCTCTGCATCTCTTTCCACCTTGAAATACTACCTGGAGCAGAGACTGTTAAAAGCCAGTTCTGTTGTGCTCTCTTCGGCAGCACATATACTAAAACTGGAAAGATACAGAGAAGATTAGCATGGCCCCTGCCCAAGAATGACATGCAAATTCGCGAAGCGTTCCATATTTTTTTAAAAAAAGCCAGTTTTGTCCATGTCTCTTTACAATTTATGGTCCTCCCGAAACGTGCTGACTTTGCTAGGAAATAGAGATGAGAGAACACAGGGGGTGGCCATCTTCCAGCAGACAGGGGCTGCGGGAGCTGCTCTCTCCACCCTCATTTTCTCTTTCTTGTGGTCTTTCCATCTCTCAGAGGGGGAACCTCAGATAGGCGGTTTTCAGTGGCAAATGTGGGCACCTTCATTCTGTCCCTTGGCTGCATTTGGCTGCAAGTAAGGGCAGTGCAAAGTCAGTCACACACACACACACACACACACACACACACACACACACACACACACACACACAAAAGCCTGGAGATCTTTCCACAGCTAACTAGAAACCAAGGGAGGAGTAAGGGTCTGCAATGTACACGGAGTAGGCAGAAGGAGAAAGCATTGTCCCTAGAGCCATCGCCCAGGACCAGGAGGGTGACAACTTACTGTTATAAAGAGGACTAGACACGTCTTTCACCTGAATTGCTGCCTCAGACAAAACCAGGACTGTCCTGAAGGAAGAAGACAATGAGGGCTGACTGGCCGCCAGTAACTGGCAAATGTCTCACCAATAAGAACTTACATAAAGGGAGAAGGTATCTAAGTGTATGTGGGCATCAGGCATAGCTGTGTTCAGGAGCTTAGATACCATCACCAGACACTGTGGTTCCTCTGAGAGCTCCATGGTGGCGACACCACTCCCTCCCAGCAACTTGAAATGGGTATCATATCAGCTTCATAATCCAGGAAGCGAAATGAATTCTTTCCTGATACTTTCCGTTCTAGCAAGAAGCCACAACTTCAGATGCCGTGTCCTGACTTGGGTCACAGGCCTACACCTAGCTAATCTGTTATATCTAGGGACAGAGCTTGTGTGGGGAAACAGACTCTTGACTGCCCATTCTGGCCAGTACTCTCCCTTGGAACCCCAGGATAGGCGGACGGCAACAGTTATGGGATACTTAGGGACTTGGGAAGGACATAGTCACTTGGGTTCTGTTATCATTTGTTTATTCATTGATAAATATCTACCCATAAATGAATATTATCCTTACTTCCCTTGTGTGACATCAAACTGGACACAGCCCTTGCTGTGGCTCTGGTGTCCCTTAGAGAAAGGGGCAGACTCTCATGGAATCACCAAGTCCTTAAGATGGGTAGTGTGACTTTTGGCTCCTTTTAGTTTTGTCACTTGCCAGAAAGGTGAGCTTGTGAGAGTCATCTCCCCTTGTGGATTCCAGTTTCTGTAACCTCCATGGCCCCACTTATTCATCTGCTAGAAAGATCACGAATGTAGAGACTGTAGCTACCTGTTAACTATCCCCTAGTTAGCAGTCCAAACTTGGTAGCAGCCTTCACCATCACCACCATGACTAGCAGCAGCATTTTCGTTACCATCATCACCGTCATCACAAACACCACCACCATCATCATCACCATCATCACAACCATCCTCACCACTATCGTCACCATCAGCAGCAGGAGTATTACCATTACCATAGTCATCATCACCACCATCACCACCATTGTCACCATCATCACCACCACCACCACCACCACCACCTACCACTGTACTTACTGATATTATTACCCAGCCGGGAAGACTTCCATAGAATCACAAAACATCCATGCTCATAAGCAAGATCCCATCCACCAGAGTTCAACCCCACTGCCTGTCCCCTTTCTTGTCCCCAGCAACCAACCTGTTTCAACTTCAGGGGTTATGCGAGGCACTGGGAGTTGGAGGCAGGAGGATTATCCTAGCTATATAGTTAGTTTGAGGCCAGTCTGAACTACAGGGGAGCCTGTCTCAAAACAAAAACAAAAACACAGGAAAAACCCCAAAGGTCTCCCTTCCTAGACCACTCAGGAGCAGCACACTGACCCCGCCTTTAAATCCATCTCCTTCCTGTTCCAGGCCCATCCCTGTTGGAAAAAAATGACTCTCACAAAAGATCCCTCTGCAGCAATTATCTAAATGGGAGGCTGGGAGGGGGGGAGCCATTTAGAATCCACTTCATTGCGGGATTACCTAATTAATTAACGGTTTCGCTGACAACTCGTTGGAGAAGTGTGTTAAACAGGAGCGCAGTGGGCCGTGATTTATAGACTCTGACACCCCCCTCCTGGCCTCTCCACCTCCCTCCTTCCTGCCCTCCCACAGCCCCCCACTTCCCCACTCGGCTCGGCACAAGGAGGCCCGTGAGGACCCTCGCCCAGGCTCCCTCTGGAGTTTGGGGCTGGGGCACACGGAAATGACAGAAGGGCTCCAGGGAGGGGGTGGATCCGGGTGATGAGGAGACAATGAAGAGATAAGGAGGCAGCTGAGATGAGGGGGAAGGTCGCATCTGCCCCTTGCCCCCAGCCCAGAGCCATCTGTGCCGGTCAGGGCCTGTGGACACCTCCCGGTCCCGGCTGCTTCCTCTTGAAACTTGGTAGTTTTCCAGAGAGACTGTTCCCCTCAGCTTGGAGAAGTGTGTACCGTCAGGGGACCCAGAAACTCAGCTTTGACTTTTCCACAGGAAAGGGTTTTCCAATTTCCGGTAACTGGAAGGTGAAGGCTGGGGTGTGGCTCAGTTGTCGGAGTGCTGCCCCACATGCGCAAAGCCCTGGCTTGGATCGCCAGCAAAGCACAAACTGGGTACAGCGGTGCACACGGGTAATCCCAACGCTGGTGGAGTAGAGGCAGGAGGCCCAGAACTTCAAGGTCAAGCCTGGATACAGGAGACCCTGTCTCAAATCACCCCAGGGTGAGAGACGGGGAAGAAGACGGAAGTAAGGAGCAGCGTGCAGCCCGTGGACACCTGTATCGTGGAAGGTGTTGTCTCAACACGAAAAGGTCACCCATCCACGGAGCCCCAGCCCTGGCGTGAGGCAGGGCATGGATTTTTAACACCAGGATTGCGTACTCTGGAAACGTTTAAACCAACCATTTGGCGGGCAATCTCACTAAAGGAGAACTGTGGACTTGATGGCAGGAGTCTGAGGCTAGTCCAGCTCTGCTGCTAGCTTCTTGCTGCTCTCTGTCCTCATGTTTATGGCTGATGAGGTATCGATGGCTGCCACCTTTAAGTAAAGGACTCTTCTCCTGGGAAGGGAGTCTGGAACGTCATGACATTTTAGAGCAGTGGTTCTCAACCTTCCTAATGCTGCGACACTTTAATACAGTTCCTCATGCAATGGCCCCCAACAATAAAGTATTCCTCGTTGCTACTTCATAACTGTAAATTTGCCACTGTTACGAACCGTAACGTAAACATTTGATATGTGCAGGATGTGTTTTCATGGTGACAGATTGACCAAAAGGGGGTGGGACCCACAGGTTGAGAACCCTGTTCATAGAGTGATAGGCAACTCCACAGGTTTCCAATTTGCTTCCCTGGGCTTCCATTTCCTCTTCCACTGTTCTAGAAGGATCTTCCCAAGTCTTTCACACCAAGAGCAAAAGGAACCAGAACTCCCAACAAAAGGACAGATATTCTGCTACACAGGCAACTTCCATCCTTCCCAAATTCTCCCCCTTCTTACAGCACCTCCTTATTGATTCTGAGGTCCCCACCTCCCACTCACTGAAGACCAGGTCAGGAGGGAGCTAAGGGGGCCACCCAGGAGCTCTGGTGGGAGTGATTCAACTCAGGCGAATTCCTTCTCTCAGGAAATAGGATTTATCACTGAGGTCTCAATAGAAAGGTCCTGCTAGGAACTCCTCAGGATCAGAGGTAGACGGAAAAAAAGATAAGAGTTGTGCATAGCAGTCAAGAGTCCAGTATGGACACTTCTGGACGTGGACTCTTTGCAAGAGAGTTCATTATGCCTCTGGGTACAGAACCCCTGTTCCCATGTTCAGGTGAACAAAGAGTCATTAGAAAAATAAATAATGGGGTCCAATACATGTTTGGAACAAAATTCTGTGAATGTTTAAGTAAGATCAGTCCCACGCTAGCATGAAGAGCCCAGCCAGGGCTACTACGCATTGGGGTTCCCCACATACTCAGATTCTGCAAACAGTGGGCTCCATGCCTCCTCCCTAGGCAATTCTCCGCACAGCAGGGACATCAGAGAGGGCAGACCCTTGCCCTAGGACACACAACTGTAGCTGGTTTGGGTGAAAAGGCAGCGTGACCTGTGGTCACTTGGGGAACAGCAGAACCCCGAGGCTGCTGAACTAGTCATGCGTGGCCTTGCAGCCCAGTTCTCCCGGGAAGAAAAGCTGTGGTTTTGTCCGGGTCACCTTGCAGGTCAGAGGCCCCTGGACAGAACCTTGACCCATCTCTGTCCCCCTCAACTCCCGCGCAGCCCAGGTTCAAGGCCGCCAAGAGGCCGGGAGTGGGTTAAACCGTGCAGCCCCGCCCGCCGGGCACAGGAACAGATTTCCCGGTTCACACGGGCACAAAGGCCGCGCGCTCAAAGACGCCGCATTGTCCCCGCCGCGCCGCTCCCACCGCCGCGCGCGAATTAACCCTGTCACCCGGCCATTGTCGCCGCGCACTTCAGGGCGGCCACAAAGGCGCCAGAATACCCTGCCGTGTTGGCAAGGAGGTGGTGGTGGGGGGAGGATGCAAGAGGAGACACTGGGGGGGGCGGGAGACAGGGGAGGGGAGTGGAGGCGCAGGGGTGGGGTGCAGGAGTAAGGATGGGAATAAGGGTAGGAGTAGGGTGCAGGGCAGGGTGCAGGGGGACAAGGCAGGGATGGGTAGGAGTGGGATGCAGGGGTGGCTAGGTGGGGTTCAATGTAGAGATGGTGGGGTGCAAGAAAGACAGGCTACAGGGGCCTGTAGGGTGCCGGGGGAGGGGGCACAGGGTCCAGGAGAGAGGCACAGGGGTAATAGTGGAGGTACAGGGTGGGTTGATTCCGGTTATGGCGTGGGGAGGGGAGGAAGCAGGGCTATGAGCAGAAGGCAAAGGGTTACAAAGGGAACTAAGGGCTGAACCTGAGGAACCCGATGGGGGGGGGGCTAAGAAGCATTCCGGGTTCTGGTCTTCCTCCGCCTATGCCCTTGGTGGCCTCCGTTATCCACCACCTATCTCCTGTCTCCCTAGCTCTGTGTCTCCAGTGTCCTCTCTGTGGCTTTGTCTCCATCTCTGCTTCCCTGTCCGTACCCAGTCCTTAGAGTGCCGGGCATCTTTTCAGGCGTGCACTCCTGAGTGTGGAGGGTACAGGTGCACACACAGACGACACACATGCGTGTGCACACGTGCAGACACACCCATACACTCACTGAGAACTGGCAGTGTGCAGCCCCCCCCCGGTACAGAGGGAGTCTTAGAGAGGGCCACAGCTACCCACCCAGGATTGAAAGTCACTTAGAGTTCTGACTCACGGGCCAATGGCTATCTTTAGTGGGGCTGGCCAGTCTTGTTGGTGACACCCGGCAGACGGGGGGGGGGGCAGGTTAGAAGGAATGATACCCTCTCAAGGGGTGACCCAGCTCCAGAGACCCTTGCCAGGCTGCACTCCAACCCTCTGAAACCCGAGGGACCTCATTACCTTCCCAAAGATTGAGCCCCACCCAGGGTGGCATTCTCTCTTCTCTTTTTATACCATCCAAAGGCCTTCTGGGAGGAGCCAAGATCCCCCCCCCCAGATGCCCCAGATGCTGTCTCAGGGCCTGGGTCACCCTCACCATGCCTTGAACTGAGCAGCTCTGAGTGGTGGCCAGGAATACCCTTATTTCATACTGGGGAAACTGAGGCATAGCTGAGTCAATTGTGCCCCGCAGATCCTGGGTGCTCCCTGGCCAGCGGAGTCAGTTAGCAGGCTCCAGACCCGCGTTCTGCTGAGGCATTCCTCAGTGACCTTTCTGTTTTCCACCCTCAGCTGGGGTCAATGGGAGCAAGGCATTATGGAAAGTGACCCACTGAGTCAAATCTGGGCGCTGGTCTGTTTGCCCATCTACGCAGTGGGAGAAGGTGGATGCTTGCCCTGTGGGTCATGTGGGGGATTGCGTGGGAAGTTTGGGGTTCATCTGCTGCACACATCTTCCTATCCTTTCCAGCACAGCCCAGACCACCTGCTTTCCCAGCCCTGAGTCGATATTCACAAGCATCACCCAGCTGTTCAGTGTGACTTCCAACATCCCAGGACCAGTGTATTCCCCCTTCCCACGATAGCTAGTATCTTTGGTCCCCCTAGGCAGACAGGTGCTCCTCTGCTGCATCCTAGAACACGCCCCTCCTGCTGGGAATGACTCCCTTAGCTGCCCTGTCCTCTGGTTGGCTCCAACACCCTGCACTCAGCTGGGTAGGTCTTGCCTGGAGCGTCCTGCTACACTGGCGTGGGGGTAGGGAGGTTCTGTCCAAGCTCCCCAGCCAGAAAGCCCCCCAGCCAGTCCTGCTGGGGGGAGATAAGAAGCAGGCGGCCAGCTCCGCCCCTGTTTCTGTAATCGCCTTCTCACCGCCAAACCCCCCGCCGTGACGCCCCACTTTTTATATATATATATCATCTTTATGACTGTGGAATGATCTGGGCTGACACTGCATTCATTTAGCCAAGGGCAGGTGGGGTCGCAAGAGACAACTCACTCATCTGTGCACGGATTCACGGATCACTCGGGGTCTGGGAGGGAAGCTGCCCTTCCCCCCTGAGAATGTGGGCTGCCTGGGAAGACACTGGGGACACTGGTGACAAACATTGCTGGAAGGAAATGGATTCAGGAGTGCCAGAGACCTTGTGGCCAGTTCTCAGATGGCCTTGGGGGAACCTCTGTCTTCAGGCCCCTCAGGTTCCGAGGTAGAGCCTTGGGGGTGCGTGGGGGACCCAGTTTATCTTCAGATAGCCCTTTCTGTCTTTCCCTCTTCTTCTTCCGTCCCCATCCCCCCTCCCTCACTCCCTTACTGCTTTTCTCCCTCCCTTCCTTCCTGCTGGAGGTGAAATGGAAGCTTCCATAGATATCCCGGGCATGCTGTCTGGCACACAGGGAGGTGCAATTGTGGCCGCCCATGCTTTATATATTGTCTACTCCTGGCTCACCAACGGGACACAGAGGCAGCCCTGCCCTCAAGGGTGCTCCCTGCCATGCCCAACTCCCTCTGTCAGCCAGCCCGAGGGACAGCAGCGAGGCCAGAATGATGGTGTGAAGAGGATGAGCTAGGGGCTGATGCCCCCGCTCCCCCCAAATGATGAGTTACACACACTCTGTGCTCCGGGGCTTGAGTCCATCCTGGCACGTGCCTTCGCTGGAGCTCTGTGCTCCCTGTGAGGAGCAGCTAATGGTGATGGTGTGGTCCAAGACTGGTCACATGTCTTCAGTGCTCTAGACCCTGTCCCCATTGTTGACACTCTGGACACCAGCCTCCCTGTTGACCTTTGATCCCTCTTCCCACCCCTTCTCTGTATGTGGCTTCATCAAAAGGGCTCCCTTGGCCTCAGAACCCCAACCTGGGCTTTGCACTGGCCGGTCCCAGCAGAGCCGTTTGATCTCAACCTCTCACCCCAAACAACGTGCCTCAGGGTCACCCCTCTAACAGGTGTCTAGGTCTCCCTGTGTCATCCTTCTTATTCTAACCGTGCTCACCCTCACTCTCTGGTGTTGACCTTGGTTCTTTACTCGCTGACTGCCCTCCCAGAGAATACCCGTGGTTGAGCGGGACTTCTCGGGACTTCTCTCATTCCCTGTTCCTTGTAAAGGGCCTAGAGCATTGGAGAGTTTGGAGGATCTTATTAACCCTTGACCTTGGGTTCCTATTTGGATTCCTTTAAGCTTTGTGTAGGTGGGTGAGAAATTAGAAAATAAACCATGGTGTGAGCCTCATTATCCCCCTCCCCCCTGGGGGGGTCGTCTCCTCAACCCCCCTCCCCCACTTGTAGGCTGGTGTGCAGCCTTAGGGGTCGTCTCCCCACCAGCCCCAGTGAAACCTACCCTCCCCGAATACCATGCTGGGAAGCTGGTCATGTGGCTGTGGGACTCAATTCAACTAAGAAAGTGAGGGAGTTTCTCAAACAGGCTTCTGGGAAGTGTTGCAGCATAGTGGGAGATCAGGCTGGGTACCTGAACTCAAAAAAGACTATATTGAAGCGGGTGCTGGAGGTGATCAATGCTTACTGAAGGCCTACTATGTGCAAGATCAACTCTATCTTTCATTTCAGCTAGGTAGTGACACCCTCATTTCAGAGATCAGGGAGCAGTGGCCCAGAGAGGTTAAGGGACTTAACTAAGGACACACAGCTGATAAGTGCCAGAGCTGGCGTTTGGGTTTGAGTTTAGGGCAAGTGCTTTTT